CCTAGGCAACATGGGCCCCTTCTCTATTAAAAAAAAAAAACTAGAAAAAAAAGTATTGAAATATTCAATACATACTAATAACAAAAGATGACTGCAATATATACTGATCACCTCCTGTAATTACAGAAGTCACACATGACTTGAGTATTATAAATTGTAGACAATTTTTTCCTTTTTTAAAATGTGTATACATTTTTTTTGGCACTCTTGAGTATATGTCACTTTGAAATAGGAGACGGTTAAACAGGAACCAGATGAGAAGATCACTCATGTTCTGGGGCCCCGAGTGAGTATGCTGTGTTGTGAAGAGCAGTCTCAGGATGGCAAGTCTCACAGCTCTGTCCTTCTCCAACAGACACAGGGCCAGGACCTGAGCACAGTTTCACCAGCAGTCATCTTTGAGTTGATGTTCCACAATTCAGAGGATACAGCAATTCAGGAAGACGCACGACAGACAGGTAGGTTGTTACGCAGCCCCTTCCTGCTCCCTTGTCAGCACTTGTTGGCACACTGAGTGACAGGCATAGAGAAGTATCCCAGTTACTTAAATGGAGCAAGCTTCCTGTGAAGGGTCAGAGAAGTATAGGCCTAATTCAATTCATTTCCCACCCCCTCCTTTTCCTCTGCCTTGAAAAAGAGGCCCTTCTTTCCTACAATCTCTTTTTGGCTTTCAAAAATGGGAGGAGCTGTGAGCTCTTTCTTCTGATGTGATTATACCCTGTTCATGAGTGTATAGGACCCACAAACCTAGGTTTGGATGCATAGATCATACTGTGTTTGAATGAAAATTTGTTTGTAAAACATCACAGTGGTCAGAAAGTATATTCACTGGTCATGCGAAGAAAAGGATATCTAGTCTCTTTTCCAAAAAAGCCTTAGGGCACTTTGACACATTTTTTTAATGGGTATACCTATACTAGGTCTTCACATTTAGAAAGCGAGCTCAGTCATGAAACCGGGTACTTTGAAGAGCAGAAAGACACCCTGCTAGCAATGAAAGAACTGGCTCTCATGGACTTTAGCTGTCTTTTGTTTAGCCTGTAATGATTGTGTTTGTGGCTCATCTAAGGCTTGGGATAAGTCTATATATTTCTATTTCTTTTTCTTGCCAGCTGCCTTGATTGAAAATTTTAATGGTGATGCAGAGTCAGTCAGTGACGTTCCGCCATCCACAGGAAATTCAGCATCTTTATCTCTTCCACTTGTACTGCAGCCTGGCATCTCCGAGCCACCCCAGCCTCTACTACCAGCCTCAGCTGCGTCTGCTCCTCCGCCTGCTCCCTCCTTAGGAACTGGTTCCCAGCAAGCTGCATTTGGCAACCCCCCTGCTCTCTTACAACCTCCAGAAGTGCCTGTTCCCCACAGCACGCAGTTTGCTGCTAATCATCAAGAATTTCTTCCACACCCCCAGGCACCCCAGCCCATCGTACCAGGACTTTCTGTTGTTGCTGGGCCTTCTGCATCATCAGCAGCAGTGGCATCAGCTGTGGCAGCACCAGCTCCACCACAAAGTACTACTGAGCCCCTGCCAGCCATGGTCCAGACTCTGCCCCTGGGTGCCAACTCTGTCCTAACTAATAATCCCACTATAACCATCACCCCGACTCCCAACACGGCTATCCTGCAGTCCAGCCTAGTCATGGGAGAACAGAACTTACAATGGATATTAAATGGTGCCACAAGTTCACCACAAAACCAAGAACAAATTGTAAGTATTATGTATAAACTTATCCAGCAGGGTGAAGTGCATTTACATTGGTGACACGTTCAGAGGGGCTTTTACTGCACAAAGGAAAATGGCTGTCGTATCCACCTGAGATATGCAATTCTACCTCTTAGTCATTTCCCCTATAATCAAATAGTATAAATATAAGGAATGTTGTGGTCATACCTTTAATAAGGAGGCAGAGAAACAGCCTTAAGTTTACCTAACACTGACTCGGTGCCTATGGCTCAAGTGGCTAAGGCGCCAGCCACGTACACTTAAGGTGGCGGGTTCAAATCCAGCCTGGCCCACCAAACAACAATGATGGCTGCAACCAAAAAATAGCTGGGCGTTGTGGCGGGCGCCTGTCATCCCACTACTTGGGAGGCTGAGGCAGGAGACTCTCTTAAGCCCAGAAGTTGGAGGTTGCTGTGAGCTGTGATGCCATGGCACTCTACCCAGGGTGACAGCTTGAGGCTCTGTCTAAAAAAAAAAAGTGTACCTAACAGAAACTTGGACAAACATTCCTACTGATAGTGTGATCTAATATAGGAAAGTAGTCAACAAACTCCAGAGGCGCAGCAATATTTCACAAAGCGGTCATCTCCAAGACAGAGTCAGACTGCTATAAGGGACTGATTTGACCTGGTCCGATGGAACCAGGCAGCAGTGGCCAAATCAGAGAAGTAACCTGTGCTCCCAGAGCCCACCATAGAACCATTTTAAGTGTTTGGTCTTGATGGCTATGGAATTGACTTGGGCATTCAATTAAGTATACTTTCCAAGCCTAATATTTGCTGGATACCACACTGAATACTCTGGAGGATACAGAAAAGTGAAAAATATGACTCTTTTGCATAAAAGCTTATATTCTAGTTAAAGAAGCTAAAATGCCTAAAACAAAGTTAATTACCAGGAGGTAAAGTGCCAAATAATAAGAAGGGTAATAAAATAAGAAAAGCTATTATTATTGAGTCCTTACTATATGTAAGGACTTACTATGCTAAGGCCTTTTTTTTTTCTTTTTGAGATAAGAGTCTCACTTGGTCACCCTTGGTAGAGTCCTGTGGCATCTTAGCTCATAGCAGCCTCAAACTCTTGGGTTCAAGTGATCCTCTTGCCTTAGCCTCCCAAGTAGCTGGGACTATAGGCACCCGCCACAAGGCCCAGCTATTTCTTTTTTATAGCTGGGGCTCTCGCTCTGGCTCAGGCTGGTCTCAAAGCTGTGAGCTCAGGCAATCCTTGACTTCTCAAGTGCTGGGATTACAGAAATGAGCCATTGTGCCCAGTCTGTACTAAGCATTTTTTTTAAATTGAAGCTCTAGGGCTGGGGGAGGTGGCTCACACCTTTAATCCTAGCACTCTGGAAGGCCAAGGCTGGTGGACTGCTTGAGCTCACAGGTTTGAGACCAGCCTGAGCCAGAGTGAGACCTCATCTCTAAAAATAGCTGGACATTGTGGCAGGTGCCTGTAGTCCCAGCTAACTCAGGAGGCTGAGGCAAGAGAATCAAGCATTTGAGGTTGCTGTGAGCTGTGATGCCACAGCACTCTACTGAGGGTGACAAAGTGAGACTCTGTCTCAAAAAATAAATAATAAATAAATAAACAAGGCTTGGTGCCTGTGGCTCAAGCAGCTAGGGTGCCAGCCACATACACCAGAGCTGGCAGGTTCGAATCTAGCCCAAGTCTGCCAAACAACAATGATAACTATAATCAAAAAATAGCCAGGTGTTGTGGAGGGCACCTGTAGTCCCAGCTATTTGGAAGGTTGAGGTAAGAGAATCATTTAAGCCCAAGAGTTGGAGGTTGCTGTGAGCTGTGACACCATGGCACTCTACCCAGGATGACAGCTTGAGTCTGTCTCAAAAAAAATAAATAAATAAAAAATAAAATAAAATAAAATCAAGGCTCAGGCAGTGCCTGTGGCTCAAAGGAGTAGGGCACCAGCCCCATATGCCAGAGGTGGCGGGTTCAAGCCCAGCCCCAGCCAAAAACTGCAAAAAAAAAAAATCAAGGCCCTAGCACATGTCATTTATTACCTATATATGTTATATTTTTTCTTATATTTTATTTTATTTTGAGACAGAGTCTCACTTTGTCACCCTTGGTAGAGTGCTGTGGTGTCATAGTTCACAGCAACCTCAAATTCTTGGGCTTAAGCCATTCTTTTGCCTCAGCCTCCTAAGTAGCTGGAACTATAGGTGCTGCCACAGTGTCTGGCTATTTTTAGAAAAGGGGTCTTGCTCTGGTTCAGGCTGGTCTCAAACTCCCAAAGCTCAAGCAATCCACCTGCCTTGGCCTCCCAAGGTGCTAGGATTACAAGTGTGAGCCAACACTCCTGGCTAGTACATTTTTTTTAGATTCCTTTTTTTAGTGATTATGGAACAGATAGTGTAGAGAGTTCCCAGGTAAGTCCCCTTACCAGTTTCCTCTGTTATTAACATCTTGCATCAGTGTGGTATATTTGTTACAATTAGTGAACCAATATTTATACATTGTTATTAACTAAAGTCCATAGTTCACATTAGGATCATTCTTTTGTGTTGTTTAGTTCTGTTTTTGATAAATGCGTAACGTCATAGATCCACCATTACAGTATCCGTAATAGTTTCACCACCCTAAGAATTCCCTGTTTTACTTATCTCTCTCCCACCTTCCCTTAACAACCACTGACCTTTTTACTGTCCCTGTATATCCATATTTCTATATATCGCATTAAGCACATTTTAGCGTATTACAACAAGCCTTAACAGGTAGGTATGATTTTACCAATGGAGAACTGAGGTCCAGACTGGTTAAGTGACTGGCTGAAGGTCACACAGCTCACAAGTGGCAGAACTGGGATAGGCAGGCTGACCTTAGAGTCTGTGCTCTTGGTTACTACATAGGGCTGCTAGGTGAGGGGTTCAGACTTTAAGGACTTGTTGGGTGGCTATATAGGTCAGGTGAGCTTGAGATATGAGTAGGATTTACATGGGGTAAAGAATTTACTCGGTAAGAGAATCTGTGGGTGGGTGTATGCTGCTTATCAGACAAACCAGAAAGGTGATTTAGGGCTGAATAGTGAGAGCATTCAGATTCCAGAAGTGGGAGGCCAACCACCTCTAGAGGCAGCCTATTTCCATTTTCAGGTGGCCAGAGTCCTTGAAAAGGTTTTAACCCAATCTATTTGCCATGTAGTTTTTTTTTTTTTTGAGAGACAAGAGTCTAACTCTATTGCCCTCAGTAGAGTGCTGTGGCATCACAGCTCGTAGCAACTTCCAACTCCTGGGTTTAGATGATTCTCTTGCCTCAGCCTCCCAAGTACCTGGGACTACAGGCCCCCGCCACACCTGGCTATTTTTTTGTTGCAGTTTGGCTGGGGCCGGGTTTGAACCCGCCACTCTCGGTATATGGGGCCGGCGCCGTACCCACTGAGCCATAGGCACCGCCCAGCCGTGTAGTTTTGTTTTGTGTGGACAAGTGTCATTCCTTTTCCATGGAGTTCATTTTAATGTATTTAAATATGGGTCCCATTTCTACATTATTATTTTTTAGTGTCCTCTCCTATAACTTAGCCAGAAGCTTTTATTTCCTCCCAGACTCGTCTTAGAGGCAGTTTTTCTCCCCCTTAAAGGAATAAAAGACAAAGCCTCTTTAAGATAGAAGCAGAAGCTAGTTAACTAAATTATAGGAAGTGTAGAGTGATAAGGTGATTTTTCCAAGGGTGAGTCTATGGCCCTACTTGTAGTAAAGTACACAGAGCTCGTGTTTACTGTGTGTTCATCCTGTGCCAAATGCTCCGCCTGCATGAGTTACTTCATCTAATCCTCACAGGGGCCTTGAGAAGGTCTTTGTGTATTGTCCGTTTTCTGTTACTTATAACAAGATACCTGAAAATGGATAATTGATAAAAATATTTTCTTTCTTTTTTTTTTTTTTAGAGACAGTCTTACTTTGTCACCCTCCGTAGGGTACTGTGGCATCACAGCTCACAGCACCCTCCAGCTCTTGGGCTTAGGTGATTCTCTTGCCTCAGCCTGCTGAGTAACTGGGACTATAGGTGCCTGCCACAACGCTTGGCTATTTTTTGTTGTTGTTGTTGCAGTTTGGCCGGGGCCAGATTCAAACCCACCACCCTTGGTACACGGGGCCCGTGCCCTACTCACTGAGCCATGGGCACCACCCAAAGTATTTTCTTTCTTTCTTTTTTTTTTTTTTT